CACTAGCCGCCCGTGCTCCGCACCTGGGTAGTAGCGGGTGACGCCAGTGGCGCTGCCGAAGACCTGCCAGAGCAGCGAGGGGTCCTCCTTGCGGTTCTCCATGAACACGTCCTCCAGTGCCTGCGTCCAGTTGAGCTCGTTGAGGATGACGGTGGCTGCGGGGGAGCGAGCGCGAGCGGGCGGCGGGCGGCCGGGCACGGGTCACCCGGGTCCCCGCTCTCGGACCAATGCACCCGCTCATGGGACAGAGACCCTATACCCTCCCCGTGCACCAATGCAGCCCCTATACTCCCCCTGCGCATGAACGCTGCTCCCGTCCCCTCCTTCTGCATAAAGCAGTCCCTGTCCCTTCCCTGCGTGTGAAAACAGCCCCTAGAGCCTCCGTGTGCATGCACACAGCTCCTGCCCCCTCCCTGCACACAAATGCAGCCCCTGTCACCTCCCTGTGCACCAGCGTAGCCCCTGTCACCTCCTTGTTCACCAATGCAGCCCCTGTGCCCTCCCTGCACACAAGTGGAGCCCCTACCACCTCCCTGCATGTTAATCTAGCCCCTGTCACCTCCCTGTGCACCAGTGCAGCCCCTGCCACCTCCTTGTGCACCAATGCAGCCCCTGCCACCTCCCTGTGCACTAATGCAGCCCCTGCCACCTCCCTGCATGCTAATCTAGCCCCTGTCACCTCCCTGGGCACTAATACAGCCCCTGCATCCGTGTGCACCCATGCAGAACCTGTCACCTCTCTGCACATCAATGCAGCCCCTGCCCCCTCCCCGCACACCAATGCAGCCCCTGCCACCTCCCCATGCACTAATGCAGCCCCTGTCACCTCCCCATGCACTAATGCAGGCCAACACCAGACCCACAGCTTGCAGGGCCGAGCCGCACGTCCCGCCCCGCCGGCGAGTGCCAGCAGCTTTAATTAACACCCGCGGGGCGCAGGCTGCGCGGCTGGCTGGGGTGAGGGCAATGTCAGCGCCCCTCGGGCACTCACAGCCTTTGTAGATGTCCGTGGGGATCTGCACGGCGGCGTACGAGTAGTTGACCTTGGTCTTGAAGTTGGCGTCGTCGGTGAACTCCAGCTTGAGGGAGTTGGACTTTTCCCGCTCGATCTCTTCCCCGTCGGGGTCATCCTGGGGAGGCAAACGTGGGGCTGGAGCAGCGGCACGGAGCCTCCGAGCCCCCGCTTATCCTTCCTGCCCCGTATCCGCTGCTTCCAGAGGCTAATTTGTATTCCCTGACACCTGGCGCTGTCTGGCTGCCTTCATTCATGCAGCTATAAAGAGACTCACGTACAGGCCCCGCAGACAAACGTATGGCTCTCTATACACAGGACTCTCCATGTAGTGCTGTCACCTATACGGCAAACGGACCTGCTAGGTCCCAGCCTGATCCCGCAGCCTTTCTCACTGCTAAATTTCTAAGGGGCTTCCAAGCATCTATTTTACGTCCTGCATGTCTCAACACACATACCGGAATATTATTTGAGATATATGTATCCATTAGGAACCTCTTAGGGGATAAGATATGAAGGTTATATGGACTTATCGCATCAGCAAGATGCCACTGCAAGTGGAGCACTTGGGCCACCTTGCGTGTTCCAACTGCTTTTTACTGTATCATAATACATAATTGTAAATACATTTTACTGTATTTACTGCCAGACCCTGCAGTTTTTCAAAAATTTCCCCAAATCTGCAGGTTTCTTGTATGGGGGCTTCCTCTGCAACCTCCCGGGGCAGCGCTCCCCCTGCAAAAGCCACCGTGGGACCAAAGCTGATGGCACCAACCTGCAAAAGCCACCATGGGACAAACACAATTCCTGTGCAAACCTGCCTCTTTCTTTCCTAAATCTCCCAATCTTTGCCAAAACACCCAATTTAATGCCAGGGAAAACGATACCACGTCCTCTAGCCACATCCCTGCTTTTAAAGCAGTGCAGGTTATAAATAACCATCAGGCTCTCCTCTCCCCTTGTTCCCCCCCTCTTTTTTTTTTTTAATCTTTGCCATAGGTACTGTTTAGAGATCTTTCTAGCCCATTTATTTTTAAATTACCAACCAGAGGAGAGAAAAGGGGGAGGGAAAGAAAAAGAAAAGAAAAAAGGAAACAGAAAGTTCGTTCTCAGGCTGATAGCTTATCGGGAGGGAATCCAAATGTCACGTTATTCGAGGAAGTTGGAAGATTAAATTTCCCAGCACCCTTCATCTGCTGCTGACATTTAGGGGCTTTTTTATTCCCTTCCTGCCTCCGCTCCGCACATCTAAGAGCGGCAGCGGCTCCATGCCGGGACCAGCCGGAGCGGACGCTGGGGACGCCGATAGCAAGTGGCATCTTTGCATGGAAGAAGGGAAACCATCCTGCTTGGATGCCAAAATGAAAAGCTTCCACTTCTCCCTGTTGGATATTTCCACATGTGTGATGAAAGCGCCAGCCTCACCTTGCCCACCCAGTCTGTACCAGGAGCCTGCTCCGGTGGCAAATGCCCAACGGTGACTCAAGGTCTCGGAAAACCAGCACTTTGGCCTGATCCATGGCCAAAAATGGAGCCCGGACCATGATCCTTCAGTGGAGACACCTTGGGGTCTCCAAGGAAGATGTTTGGATGTTCGGATGCCAAATCTCATTAAAAAAATACCATGAAATTAAAAATATGTTTAGGAAGATAGTGGAGCTGAAGTGCAGGCAAAATGAATAGGAAACTCATTTCTTTCTGCTCGCAGTTAAAGCCGGCGTGAGGCTGCTGAATACGTCCCGAGGAGGCTGAATAGGCTTTGTCTATCCCCGCTAGCTTCATCTCCGCTGTATCCTGCCCAATTTAAATATAAAAATTGGAGCTAAATAAAGAAGGACGGCTAGGCTGCTATTTAGTTCAGTTCAAATGTTCTGGTATCACCTTCCTCCTTTCTCTTTCTCTTTCTTTTTTTTTTTTTTTTTAAATTTCATCATCACCATCTTTTCTATCCGTTATTTTTTGCTGGAATTAAATTAGCCGGGATTTCATTGGGAGGCAGAGAGGGCACGAATAGGGAATGCCCTGCCTGCTGCAACCTGCAACGGGATGTGGAGGATTTTGTTATTTTTTTCTCCTCATCCCCAAAGGAAGATGCTGGAGGACCGAAGCCAGCGCTCCGGATCTGGGTGCTGGCAGCAGCTCCTGTGGGATGTGGGTGGGTGCAAAGAGGAGCCCTTGGCTCCTGGTCCCGCTCACTGCAAGCGCGTTCCCAATGGGATGTCTGCGGCGAAGCCGAGGACCTCTACTCACATATTCGGTGTCAGCCTTGGAGTCGTAGTACTCGATATCTTCCTCCTGCGGAGCAGAGGGAGAGCAGCATTAGTGCCAGCCCGGTGTTACAGCCTCCCTGCCATCCTCTTCCTCACGAGCTGTGCATGGTGGAAGCTGAAGAACCGCCACGCAGCACCTTCCAATTGGTGCTATTAGAAAGCCGAGTCGTGAAGGGAATGCGCTTATTAATTACCCGGGATTGGTTGGAAAATGCCGAGGGGTTTCTGGCAATGAGGAGAGGGAGGGACACTCGATTTGGGGCAGGGCCCTGTCCCTGCACCCTGCTGCCCGCCGTCGCGCTGCTCCCCGGGTCCACGGCCATCCGCGCTCCGCAATTAAAGGAAGCCCCGGAAGAGCCATAACACAAACGAGCTGGTCTCGTGTTTAATGATCTTTAATCAGGAGCGAGAGTGACTAACAGCAGCTGTTCAGAAGGTGCTTTGATGCCCACTTCATCTCCCCGCGGCTCCTCCGCAGAGGCCGGCTCTCCCTGGGCACGTGGTGGCCTCCCCTTGCTGGAGGTGGGAACGGAGCAGGGTGCTCGGCGGAGAGGACCAGGACGCTCGCAGAGGACCCTGCCCGCTGTGGCCCTTGCCTTGCTGTCCCTGGCCTCTCAGCCAGCATCTGGGAGCCATGGAGACCTCACCATGGAGGGAGACCTTGCCCTGCAGACCTTCTCCAGAGGGTCCTGGAGCCGCAGGCGGCAGAGCCGACCCACTATGCATCAAGGCCAGGAGGGGACTGCTGCTGTCACCTGCTCCCTGGCCACCTCCTTGGTCTCCATAGAGATCCTGGAGACTTTTGCAGGTTTGCAAGCAGGAAAGGCACCTGGAGCAGCCAGATTAGGTCACGTCCCTGCTCTGTGCCAGGCGCTCGCCCCTCATCCTCCTCCTGCTCCCTCGCAAAGCCTCCCGGGCGCCTCCAGCTTGCAGAGCAACAGAGGGGCCACCTGGACCAAAGAACCCCCAATGCCTCCTCCCTGCTCTGTCTTGGCACCAAACAACACAGAATCACAAGAGGGTTGAGGTTGGTCCTCTGCAGATCACCTAGTTCAAGCCCCTGCTCAAGCAGGGTCACCTCCAGCACGTTGCACAGGATCACATCCTGGGTTTGGAGTATCTCCAGAGAAGGAGATACTGTCCCGTCTCTCTACCTCTCCAGAAGGTTTGTCTTAATACCCAGCATACTCAATGCTCTCCTGGAAGACCCATGTGCTGATGATGCCCATACGACGTATACACCACACAGTCAGCTTGATCTGAAAGTGCAAACCCAGTACTCTCTAAAGCCACCTGCTGACAACCTAGAGGGTCTTCATGGAGAACCTGCAACTTCCTCTCCCTAATACTCCTTGTTTCATAAACCGTGCTCATCCACTTCATCTGAATCCTCTCTTCATTCTCCTCCAACCCATGTTAAATCAATCTCTGTGTAAAGAACACTGCTACTTCTCGGGGTTTTAAAATAAATACTGCTAAAGAAAACACGTGGGTGAAGACTCAACATTGGGGGACTTCAATGTTACCCATCAGCAAGAGGCCATGGGGAAGATGGAGGTCCGTGGGATGCTCTTGAGCTAGAAATGTGTCCGTCTGCTCACAACCCAATGTCCTGTGGAGCCTGGAGAGGGGAATCTCCATCTTCCCAAATAGTCCTGCTGCTCCTGCTCCTCAGCTCCAGCCCTTGGGAGATTTTACACTAATATGCCCAGTTAGCAGCTAATTAATTAAAACCAGCCTGTGAGTTTCTCCAGAGTTGCCACCTGATTCCTTTCCGGCTGCCCAAGCGCGGATCCCGTTTCCGTGGGAGATGTGTGCAGGGAAAACCCGGCTGCTAATTGGGAGCCTGAAGGCTGAAACGCCAAGGACAAGGAAAGGCATTGGGAAGCCTTCTGTGTCCAAAGAGCTTGTGCTGCAATCCAGCAGTGAAGAGACCCCGTTCCTTGCAATGCAGCCTGGGTTCTTCTCTCCTGTCTCCAAGAGCATTAAAATAGGCCTTTTTTTCCCCCCTAAAACAATGTCAGAAGCTAAAAATAACATCAGAAAGGTCAGTGCTCTGATATCTTCTCCTGAGCCTTGCAGTGCCGGATGGAGGCAGCAGCAACTTCCTTCTCCTGCCTCTCTGGCAGGGCTAGGCAGATATTTAAGAGACCCGTCGGCAGGTTTTCCATCGCGCCGTCAAGATGTTCCATCTCGTTGCTCCTCGTTGTTCGCGGCATCTCCCTTTGGGACAAGCCGGGGGTGACGATGCCACCCTCCCCAGGCAAGGGGACAGCGGTGAGAGCCACAAACACTCGGTCCGTCCCTCTGACCTCCGCCACCAGCAATGCCACAGGCCAACCCAGCTCGTCACACGTCCCCTTTAGGAAGAAGGGCGCCAAAGAAGCCCCCTTGGTACCAGTCGTTGGCTTTTGAGAGCACACGGTGAAGCAAAACACAAGTTTTCTTTTGTTTTTGGTGAATGATTTTCTTGTTCTCCTTTTGGCCAGGACAGCTCTACAGCAAGGTTGGTGCTTTAACACAGTAATTCTCCGAGCGTAATGAAAGCTGACATTATATCAAACACAATAAAGACTTTCGGCTGATGGAGATCATTCCCGAACACACAAACCCATTAAACTGAACGAAGGAAAAAAAAAAGAAAGAAAAAAAGAAGAAATATCAATTCTACACACTCGCTGGCCAAAAGAAAATGTGATTTGTTATCTAAAAGGGGGTTATAAACACGGCTTCAATGCACTTTCTGTGCTGTAATGAAAACTGGGCTTGAAACGGCAAGACGACTGCAAATTAGAGCATTTGATTTTATTTTCGCAGTTTTTAGGTAAACCTTTCTGCAAGGGCAAGCGCAAGGTTACGGCGCCGATCTTTCTGTTCTCGGCCGATAAGTAGGATCTGTAATTAAAGGCGGAGGGGAAGGGAAGGGGGGGATGAGGAGCTGGCGGCCGCCCTTCTGAAGGCGCTTTGAAGGCGGCCGCGTGGCCCTGAGAGCTGCCGGCGCGCTCGCCCGCACGCGCACGGCACCGCCTGCGCCCGTGCCGTGGATCCCGAGCTCCGCGGGGCTCCGGGAAGCCCCTTACAACCACCTCGGGGCCGGGCTGCGCGGGATGAGCAGGGAGCCGTTTTGGGCGCAGCAAGGAAAAACGTGCGTGGAGGAAGGAGAAGCAGGAGAAAAGCAGCAGCAAGGAAGCTTTTCCGGAGCAGAAAGCGGCTTATGAAGAAGTCGACTTCTGAAGGCAACGCGTGCAATCCTGCCCCCCGCCGCAGCCTTAAAGGGAGCCTCAAAGGGACACGGAGCTGCGGAGGCTGGAGCAGCCCCGGGCGCGTGCCCCGCTGCCGCCGCGGCTCCGCCCCCGCGCAAGCTTTAGGCCGGGGGCGGACCCGCAGGGGCCGGCGCGGCGTGGCTGGCCACCGCGGGGAGCCAACGCTTCGCCGGGGAAGCCACGCGAGCAGCTCAAGGTCGTGCGAGCACAACTGCAGTCCTTTAGGAAGGAAAAAAAACCTGCACGGGGCAAGAAGAAAGGCAAAAAGAAAGCCCCGCAATGGCTGGAAAAAATAGCAGCTTTGCCTGTGGAGCTCGGGCCCGCCGGGCCGCTGCGAGCCGACCGCTCGCGCTCCCGCTTGCGCCGCGCTTCCCCCGGCTCCTCCATGGCAACTCGCGCGCCGCGCGCACCTCCCATGCTTAATGGTGCTGCCATTAGCACTAATGCGTTGCAAACACTCAGCATCTGCCGTCGCGCGCTCGGATGGAAACACAGAAATAGCCGCGCGCGGCGGCGCAATCTGTCATCCGCTCCAGCTTGGGGTTACAAAATGAGGCGCCGGGAGAGGAAGGGAGAGCCGCGGCCAAAATCAACCGGCCTTTGGTAAAATAAATAAATAAAATAAAGGTGGGGACAAGAGGGAAGAAGAGCCGAGAGGGCAAGGTGAGGATGAGGAGCAGGGCCGCGGAGGCGCCGCGCAGGGGATGCTCCTGCGCGAGGAGCAGAGCAGGTGCTTAATGCTGCGAGCGCGCAGTGGAGAGCGGGCCCGTCCATCAAGCGTCCCGCGCCGTCCCGCGCTGTCCTGATAAACACGCGGCGAGCTCTGCAGCGCCGCATCGCTGCACGTTGTTTCTGGGTGACTCGCTCCTAATTACCTTGATTAAGCGGCTGCAAACAGCGCTGCTGAAAAGGTTGTTTTTCGGAGCGCATTTCAGCAAGCTCTGTGCTGCAAATGGCAAACGGCGCTGCGAGCTCCCCGCTGCTGGTGCCTCTGCTGGCTTGGGCTTTGGGCAGGATGCCACGGCTCCTGCCATCAGCGATCTGCTGGGCTCTGGGCCATAAACAAGGAGCCAGTGCAAGACCAGACTTCTAGGGGTGCAGATGCAGACTTCATGGCAAACAGAGACAGGGAATATCCATCTAGGCCAGATGTGGAGCCTCTCCAATTCACGCCAGATGTTTCTCTGGAAAATGGGAGGCCATCAGGGCTATACTCCAGGGCAAACCTGCAGTTAATGGATCCAAAGGTCCAGGGGAGATTTTCTTCCGCAGCTCCTGCTTCCGCAGCAATGTGGCCTGCGACTCCTGAGGACAACATATAGATCAGGCCCTGGAGCTAGGGAAGGAGGTGGGAACCTTTGGGCAGATGCCCTTGGCCGTGGCTCTCATGAAGCCACTCCTGCGAGATCAGAAGTTAGAAGGAGAGGATTCAGCCTGGTGCTCTCCCTGGAGACACGGAGAGGGAGAAAGCACAGCGAGAACAAAAACAGAAGTCACTGGAGGCCTTGTGCACCTTGCTATCCTCTTCGTGTCTCCTCCGCGGGCCTTCGGGGAGCAACGGCAGTAATTCGGTGTCACCCTCCTGCCGAAAGGTCTTGGGGACTATTAGCACTGATGGCTTCGTCCATGGGACAGGACAGCCTGTGGGGACACCTCACCTTTTGGGAGCGGAGCTGTTCCTGCTAATAAAGACCAGGCAAACAACACTGCTGCCTCCCTCTGTCCACTCTGCTTTTCGTCTCCCATCTCGCCCGCCGCCGTC